ACTACTCCTGATAACCTCCTTTTCTTCCAGTTGTCTGGAGATGGCATCCAGCACAATCTGTTCCATCACCAAATTATACATCTTTTTGTTAAGATGTTTTTGTGTATCTCTGTATTTTGCTTATTTGACCTAATCAAATATCACATTCTGATTATTTTGCCTCTCCCACACTTCCTCCTCACTCTTGTTTCTTGTCACAAGAACTTTTATCTATGCAGATAAAGCCTTTCAGGATTGAGCAGAGCTCTGAATATTTAGGCTCTAAGAGGGCAAAATAAAAAAGTGTGAGAAAGAGTGAGAAGGCATCAGCGTCAGGAAGAGGAATTTATCTGAAGCCAAGACCCATCTATATAGCAACTTCCCACTGACCATTAACTTCAGCAGCATGTCTCCAACTCTGAACAACAAAAAATGGACCCCTCTGTATATCCTTTGTTGCCATTCTGATGCAAACTTTGTATTTGGCATGACTGGAGGAGAGTGGCTGTCACCTGTGACATCCAACTGTTATTTGCAAGCTTCTGGAAGTGTTAAGACTCAGCCTTCTGCTCTTCAAAACCCCTCTTTGTACAAACTTTTAGCCTCAACCTTCTCAGAAGCTACCCCCAGGACATCCCATAAGGCTGGAGATTCACCACAACTCATCCACACAGAAACAGGCAAGACATAAACCCTTCTGATAACTTCCCCACAGCTCTTTCCCTTTAATAAGATAGCTTTTCACATGGAACATCCCTTTCACAGCTCACAGCTAGAACAGATGCAAAGAGTTCTACAGAAGTCAGGTATTAGCCATGGATCCATGAAACTATGATGTGCTTGGTTCAATGTTTTCCTAATTTGGCTCAGCATTAACAAGTTCTACAAGGGACGATTCCCGTCTCTTTGCAGCATGTGATAAAAGATGACCCACGGGACTGTTCTACATCCAGAGATCCCCCTCTACAATCAGGCTGAGATGTAAGACATTTTAAGGCTGCTTTCATTGACTTTTCCAAACGACTATACAAAAAATTAACAAGCCAGTAAATAGAAAACTGGAGAAATGGCACCTCTTTACAAATTGTATGCCAAGAATGCATATGTAGTTTCCCTCCTATCTAAGTGTTCCTGGGGAGAAGCAGCATGGTTT